TTGATAATCTAATATAAGAATACTTCAAACATTAAATGATCAATACAATACCATCAGTATAAATTTTATATTTGGTATATGTTTTGGAATTTGCTTTCCCAAAAAGTGGTGATTCTCTCCACAATGTACCATGCCATTATTCTTTTTATTTCAGAATCAATACCAGGATCAAAGTACATATATTAAGGAACAGTAATATCTCTCTAATAGATAATTGATATGCATTCCTTATACTTTTTGGAAATTGATGGGATTTTTTTAATGAAATAGATGTTTATCTTCCATTCCTCCCAGATAGTTTGGTTGTTGATAGCTGAAGGTCCTGTTTGCATTTCTCAAAGAATTATTAATGCTTAAAATCGTTTCTAGTTCTACTGATTCCAATTTTTTAGGAGCTTCTAGTATTATATACATCAGGTGACATCTCAAAATCTTTTTAGATGGTAAAAATTTATATTGGATTTTATTGAACTGACATTTTTTCAATCAATTCATATCTTATATTAGTAAAGGAATTTAAAATATGAAGAATTGGTGAATGACATTCAATAATAATATTTTTCCATAAAGGAGAATAAGAAATTGTAGAAATATTAAAGTAAGAAAAACTAATTGGTAAAGAATTATAATCATGAGAAGAACATGCTTCAATAACAGAAACTTAAACATTAAAACAAAGTCTAGTAAAGTGTATCTCATGAAGAAAAGGAACCTTGTATCCTCTGTTATTTTTTTCATTATCTTTTATCTCTATTACAATCTTTTAAGTATTATTGAATAATCTGGCTGTAAAATTATATCAAGTTCTTAATTGAGTTATTGAGACTAATTGATTTGCATTCTTATATTAGCCTTACTAATATTTGTTTTTTGATATTGTAAATTTTAAAACTTTGCAGTTATTGTTGCAACAATCAACATGATACTTTGAAGAGATTTCTGTTACACCAGCAATCCACTTAATAATGTACTCAATAAAGTTCCAATCTCACAAACACCAGATATCCCAAATATTTGAAAAAATAAGTTTAACCACAAATAGAGTTTAAAAAATAATGATCAATGATTACAGCACCAAAATAAACTTAAATAATTCATTGTATCTTAATAAAATACTTATACTATCATAATTACTAGATAGTTAGTAATTAAAAAAATATAAAAGAAAAAGAGAAAATATATATATTATTATAGAATAATAACTAAAATTTCTAGACAACTTATATTTTGGATAATAAAAATTTAAATTTCAGTATGTAAGTCAAATAATATAATGTAATACTAGTTTATTTAATAAAATATCTAAATCTGACTAGGACCAAATTCTGTAACAATTGATAATTCAATTAAGCTCTTTTTGTCCTTTGCATTTCTATGGTTTCTCCCTAAGTCAAATCTTTTTTTGTTTTTATGGTCTTTTACAAATCTAAATTATTTTCTTTCAGTATTCATGATCTGAATAAAAACAATTGAGAAAATTTGACAAGGAAATTTCATCCTATTTCTTATTAAGTTTAAAAAAATGAAATCTAGCAATTAAAATTATAATTATCCAAAAATAAGCATGTAAAAGGCATACTTCAGTAACTTCAGTAATACTATAATATTAAAATAAATCTGAAATTTTAAAATTGGCTTTTAATAGTAGTATTTACATTTTAATGATTTTGAGGCAAAATGAAATGTTTACTAAAACTAGTAATTTTTTTAGTAATAATCTTAAATAATCCTATATATATGATATTTAGTTTTTAAGCCTCAAATGTACTTATTGTTAGTTCAATAAAGATAAATTACAAAATTCTTATCATGCAAATTTTGATGGTATATAAATTATTTAATTTGGTAAAGAGAGAAAGAATTATTTTCTACTTTTAAGTAGTGTTAGTTATAAAAGTCAAGTAATTTTCATTTATTATATTTATAGGTTCATACTCTTCTTTCCAAAAATCTGTTATCATTATTTGCCTATTCGTTGTACCAGAAAATTTTAAATGATTGACTGTTATGTTTTTGATTTCGTCCATATTTTGTAATAAGATCCTCATTTTGCTCATTTTCTATCATCAACATATCTATATGAATTTTTCTATGTTTGATTAGTTATTTCATTATTCACTCTAACAGCAACTTTGGAAATAACTTTATTGTTTTAAGAAAATACTAAAGTGTGGTTTGTGCACTGATAATTTCAACTTTAAATATCAGTAAGTTTGAAAGATGATGGCTGAATAGGAATAAATTTTGTAAGGAATCAAAGGTGAAAAATCATGATAAATTATCTTATTATGAAAGTATTGTCATAATTCTTAAATATGCATTTGTATAATAATAACATAAATTTGATACTTTAATATATATGTCAAATAATTTAAATCATATGTAAAATTTTTAGTAATAAATAGGAATGGAGCTGAAATTTCATAATAAGATAAGTCACGAGAGTTATAAAAATCTCTTGTTAATGAAGTTTATTTTACTTCTAAAAAGTATAACTAGTATGTAATGATAATTTAATTTTTCTTTAAAAAAAAGAAAGTGAGAATAAAATAATAAACAGTGTATACATTTATAAAATTATAAAATAATATACTTTATGTAAAAAATTATTATACAGTAAAAGAGAGGGGAAAGAAAAAAAGGGATAAATAATCAGGATTAAACAAATTTGGGCTTATATTTATTTTTACTGGGAGATTGCTACATGTGAATTTTACCACATAACTAAGTCATAGCCACAAAACAGAAATGTGATCCGGGATTTTCTAAATATCTAAATCATAGCCACAAAATCTCAATCTTTTAGTAAATTAAACATGAAATTTATATATTTTATTTAAACAGAAATAGACTAAATTGATGTGAAGTAACTTAATCATGATTAGATTATCTTACACAAAGTTATCACAGCCCAGGCTCAAAATATATAAAATCAATATATTAACTTTTAATAACAAATATAATAATATTTATAAACCCAAAATTCTTAATTTATAAAAATTCACTAAATACTGAATTAAAAAAAATACCTAATATCCTAGCAAACTCATAAATTGCACTACCTAACAAAAAAAAATAGCTAGTATAAAAAAAAAAGATAATTCAATAAATTATATCAGACCTTAAGAAAGAATATTATTTTTGATGGTAGAAACAATTATGGCTATTATGGATATTGTAATTCTAGTTCAAATTTTCTTAACATTTGCTAACATGTCGTATATTGCAAATAAATAATTTAATATTATTTATAATCTATTGACTGAACGCTTTAGATATCTTATTGGAGTTTGGTTACATTTCACATATGATAGGAAACAAAAAGTAATACTATATTGCACAAATATATAAGTCATTAATGTATATTTTTGTAAATGAAATCTGATTCATTGGTTAACAATACCATTGGAATGCACCTGAAATAGATTAATAGATGAACATTTGAAATTGTTAAATATAGCTTTGTTAGAATCTTTTCAAAGTAACTATTAATAGGGTTAATAATATGAGTTGTAAATTAAGTTTGATCCAATTGCGTATCTTTATTTTACCAAAACTACTAAAAGTTGGATAGATACAATGTAAAACATATTAATTAAAACATAAAAAACATTATCTATAAAGAATACAATAATTATATTTATTCTTTTACTAATTTTTTAAAAAAAAATTGCTATGCCACAAGGAGGCTTAACAAAATGTTACTCCGTAACAAATAAAATTTTGTATTTTTGTATAACAGATAGATCAAAATCACATTTAATTACGTCGTTACGTTACGTCGTTACGCCACATGTAATTATTTATTGATAATTATTAACTTTAATGAAAAGCTTAATGCCTTAGGACATTATTAGACATACAGTAACACAGTAGTTAAAAATAGTATAATAGAAGTAGGTGTAAACGAAGAAAATGATTTTTATTTTAATAATGGAATAGCTGCTTTAGATAATTATATAAAAGGAAATGAAAATATTATTAATTTTATAAAAAATAGTATTTTTGAAGAAAATAATGTGTCGTATGGAAAGACACAATTTAATTTAGTAATAGCGTTCAAAGATAGAAAATATAGAAAGAAGGGTGAAATACGCAATGAATATGTGATTTTTTAGTTGTTAATGTTTAAAGATTCTGGTAGAAATAACGAACTTAAATTGAGAATGATAATTCAAACGGATGATTATAACAATACCCATTCTACAGGCTATCATATAATGAAAATTATTATTGATTTTATAAATGTGAGAAATGTACGTAGACGCCTTGATATAAATAAATATATCTTTTATTGTAGCATGGTTAGATAATTATAAAATTAATATTATAGAGGGAGAAAAACATTATATTGCATATGTAGAAAATATAAGAAGGAATTAGAAGATATTAGAGAAATCACCGTTCCTTCATTAATGGATTATACGTTAAAACTCAAAGTATTAATCTATTAATTCAAGAATTTGCGTTAAGAATTTTTTAATTTCAGGAAATTATCGTGCATTCTTTAGAGAATCTTCAATTGGAGGAGAAGAATTTGAGACCAGATCGATATAAATAATCTATATGTTCATTTGCATTTGCAAACTTTATTGAAGTTGATACTGTTTCATGTTATAAAAAAATTTTTAGCACATCGTTACCTACCGATAAATAAGTTTTTATTCACTAACGTCAAAATCGGTATTCAAAATCTCCTTTCAAATTCAGTGAATATTAGAGCGGATAGAAGGTGGTACGTGATTTAATTAAAAAACTGCGTGTTTACCAAAAAAAATCTTGAAATAGACATATTTTTAACTATTCTACAGTTTTCTAAAGTTTTATTGATATAAAATAAAATTAATTATTTTTATAGGATGTTGATCGCAAAATTTAGATGTATAAAAAAAAAGATCATCCTTAAATAGATTGGTGTCACAAAACTTTGATCTCGTGATGTAAAGTTATATAATGAACATCGATTTGTCGATCTGCTTGATCTCTTCTTTTTTTGAGCATTTTTATTTAGAATGTGGAGTTTTTTCAAAATTGTTTCAACTCCCAACCATGTTTTAAAATCTTTTCGACATAATATAATTTATGTAAAAAAATTTTCTACCCACAACCTTTACCAAGAAAAATGGGAAGCGATTATTGGGTTGGAAATTCACGCTCAAATAAATTCAAAGAAAAAGTTGTTTTCTAGTAGGTGATTTATAAATTTTTTATTTAATATTCAAAAAATTAATTTGTATGTATTTATTATAAAAAATATTTAACAAAAATTTCAAATTTAAAAATCAGATTCATCCACGTCTTTTAATGAACCTGTTAATACAAATGTATCAGTCATTGATGCTGCTTTTCCGGGTACTATTCCGGTAATTCTTGAATTTAAATTTTAATGCAAAATAGATTAATGAGAATATTTATAATTAATGAAAACTTTTTTTTTTTGTTAAGCGCATAAATTCTAAGTGTGTTCAACTTATAGTTGCAACATCTTTAGCACTAATGGGAAATGTTCAACCCGTTTCATTCTTTGATAGAAAACATTACTTTTATCCGGATCTACCGGCTGGATATCAGATAACACAACATTATGGTGAGAGTACATCTATTATAATAGATTAAATGCCACATGTTTAACTTTTTACATCTTGATTTAATTAGCTCCAATATCCCTTGGTGGAAAAATAACATTATCACCTTTAGATGGACTTGATTATGAAACAGATGTTAGAATAAAACAAATCCAAATTGAACAAGTATTGTCAAAATATTAAAATTAGAAAAAAAAGTATATATAATATACTAAATTATTAGCTATTATTTTAATAGGATACAGGAAAAAGTATACATGATATAAAACCTGGAATGGCTTTAATAGATTTAAATCGTTCTGGTACTGGTTTAATGGAAATTGTAACAGAACCTGATATAAGAACATCAAAAGAAGCAGGTCTAACTGTTCGTAAATTGCAGACCTTACTCAGAACTTTAGGATCATCAAATGGCAACATGGAAGAAGTAAGTCTTGTGATTTTTTTTTTTTTAAAAAAAACCTTGTAATTAATTTTTTGTAATTAATTTTATTTTAATTTAGGGATCATTACGATGTGATGTAAATGTGTCTGTGCATGAAATAGGAACTCCTTTTGGTACAAGATGCGAAATCAAAAATTTGAATAGTATCAAATTTTTAATGGCAGCTGTTGGTAACTAATTCAAACTTTGCTAAATATTAAATAAAATATTTTATTTTATCTAACATCAACATATGAGTTTGGCTTAATAGATGTAGAAATTGAACGTCAAATAGCTGAATTGAAAAAGGGACATTCTATTATTCAAGAAACTAGAGGATATGATGTCGCTGCTAATCAAACTTTTAGATTAAGAACTAAAGAAACTTCTGCTGATTATAGATACATGCCTGAACCTGATATACCTTCATTAATAATTACTGAAGTATATTATTACTATATTTTCAAACTTTATTAGTTAAATTGCTTAAATTTTAATAGAACTATTAATATTTTAGGATTACCTTACGGGCATCCATAATAAACTACCAGAATTACCTGATGATCTTAAAAAAAGACTAATGAATCAATATAATATTTCATTGCGTGATGTTATGTCATTAATGCACGAAGATGGTGGTGTTGAATATTTTGAAGAAGTAAGATTTATCTTTATTCTTACTATTGATTGTTATGTAAATTATTTAATTATTTTATTATATTATTTATAGATAGCAAAAAATCGAAATCCTCATCATGTTGTAAATTGGATTACACATGATTTATATGGTCTTTTAAATACTAATAATATTAAATTCAATCACAATCCTGTAACAACACAACAATTAGGTTCTATAATTGATTCTATTAAAACGGATGATATTACAGGTACCTTTGAGCATGAATATTTTTTTTTTTTTTTTGAATAAAATTTTAAGTATTAATTATTTATTCTACATAAAGCTAAAACGGGAAGAAAGATTCTTACTATAATGGTTTTGGGTGATAAGCGTCTTTGTCATGATATTGTTCAAGAAAAGGGATGGAAACAGCTAACAAATACTTACGAATTAGAAATAATTTGTAAAAATATCTTATCAAAAAATCCTAAACAGGTTAATTATTCTTATTTTTTATTGATAATTGATTTTCTTATTTTATGTTGATTAATAACGTAATGTTTCATTACAATTATTAGGTACAACAATATAAACAAGGAAATAAAAATATATTTAGTTGGTTTGTAGGGCAAGTTATGAAAGAAACCAAAAGTAACGCAAATCCTAAATTAGTGAATGATATTTTAACAAAATATTTAAATTAATAGTATAATAAAAAGTTTTTTTTTTCTTATTATTTTTGTTAATATAAAATTGTATTAATACAGTGCTAATACTATCTTTATTTTGTGAACAAACTCGTGTTGAAAATTATTTGCGAAATATAAGGTTATAACGATATCAAAGTATCATTGAACAATTTATATTAATGATTTTTACGTATGATATATTTTAAATAAGAATCTAATTAGATCAAATTACATGTAAAGCATAATAGAATTAAAAAACTTTCTAATTTATTTTAACATATAAGCTTATTTAAATTATTTCACAAATAATTTTATCTAATAATTAAATATAATTTTAATATTTCGGTTTGTTTAAGGAAAAGGACTTCAATTTTTTTTTTTTTTTTTTTTTTTTTCACGCAAAGAGGCTGAACCTATAAAATTTTGTACAAATTTTTATTATTAAAAATCACTTTTAATGGCTCGCCTTTTACATCATAAAAAAAGAAATGCATTATATTACGTTACATAAAATTTGTTTATTGGTAGTTAAACAGTCTGATGTAGGACATTATAATGAGAATATTACACTATTACACACACCCATTTTATGGAATGTGTAACATGTCAATATTTATAAATAATATAAACTTTGTTTCTTTTTTTTAAAACATTTATAGCATTTATAGCATAATAACTTTACAATAAGAACTTTTCTGCACAAACATTGTCTATTGTACTATAAAATGTATAAAATGTCTAATAACCCTGAACTTAAGGTTATTGGTTATTCAAATGAGTGGATTAATTGGATTGAAGAATCTATTGTAAAAAAACAAATTAAATATTATGATCATAAAGACTTTAATAATATTAAAGAAATTGGACTCGGAAATTTCGGAAGAGTTTATCGTTCAAATTGGAAAAATTCTCATAGTTTTTTAGCTTTAAAATCTTTTATAAATTTCGATATCATTGCTAAAGAAATTGTTAATGAAGTAAATATAACATTATTATAAACATTTTTGTCTTTACGATACGCTATTAAATGCACATTACGTTCCTATTTTAAATTTTATTTATTTTTAGCTTAAACTTCAGCGTGAAGTTGATTTTCATGAAAATATTATTCACTTTTATGGCATCACAACAGGTATTATAAATATTTTAAAAATTTCATTTAATAACATAAAGAAAAGTCTAATATTTTTTTATTTTTCAAAAGAAATCCAAAGTGATGATTCAAAGAAATACTTGCTAGTGATGGAATATGCCGATAGTGGTACTCTTCGAAATTATTTAAGCGAACGATTTGAAAATCTCACTTGGAATAATAAATTAAATCTAGCGTTCCAATTAGCTGTTGCTATATCATGTTTGCATGATAAAGAAATCATGCATCATGATTTGGTAGGTTACTTTCAATACTTATTTACGATTTAATGTATTACATTGTAAGATTATATATCTAATACAAATATTTACTATTTTACTTTATTATATTTGATAATAGCATTCAAATAATATCTTAGTTCATAAGAATACAATCAAATTGGCTGACTTTGGGTTGTCAAAAAGGATTAAAGGATTACTTAAATCAAATTTATTTGAAATGGTCGCCTATGTTGATCCACAAATTTTTAATAGAAATAGTGATAGCAACGACTCAATGAAAGTGTATTCGTTAAATAAAAAGAGTGACGTTTACAGTATTGGCATACTCTTGTGGGAAATATCTAGTGGGAAACCACCTTTTTGTAAAGAATCATACGATATCGGTTTGGCTATGGAAATATTACAAGGTCTTAGAGAGAAACCTATTACTAATACTCCTGATGATTATATGAAACTATATACTGGTAATACGATTAAATTTGAATTGTAATTTTTTAACAGTGTTAATTAATTTTTAAGTTTATTTTATTTATATTTAGATTGCTGGAACAATGACCCAGATGATCGTCCAATTATCAACCAAGTTATTGCAACATTAGACGCAATTATTCTAAAGGAAAACATCCAAGTATCAAGTATACAGCAGAATATCATTAATAATCCATTACACCAAATTATTCAAAATTTTAGTGATGTAAATATGAAAGAAATTGAACCTTCAATTTCATCAAATCTAATTACAAATGACTATGAAATATTGATTATTGAAATAATTATATTTCTACAAGATGTAGAAGTAGTTAGGAAAAAACGTGAAGTTATTAATTATCTTAATGAAAATAATTTAACTTCTCGAGAAATTTATGATTGGTTACTAAATAATCAGGATAATTCAGATTCCGTTTTTTTACTTGGAGTATTTAATCATGTTGGAATTGAAATTAATGTTGATGAACAAAAAGCATTTGAATTATATCAAAGTGCAGCAAATACAGGGCATGTGCCCGGAATAATTAATTTGGGATTTTGTTATAATAATGGAATTGGAACTAGTATTGATAATCAAAAAGCATTTGAACTATATCAAAAAGCAGCAAATTTAGGAAATTCATGTGGAATAAATTTTTTAGGATACTGTTATCAGGAAGGAATTGGAACTAGTATTGATTACAAAAAAGCATTTGAACTATTTCAAGAATCAGCAAATTTAGGAAGTGTATTTGGAATATGTGGTTTAGGATGTTGTTATGATCATGGGATTGGAACAAGTATTGATAAAAAAAAAGCATTGGAGTTATATCAAAAAGGAGCAAATTTAGGAAATATATATGGTATAGCTAGTTTAGGATACTTTTATGAAAAAGGTATTGAAACAAATGTTAATGTACAAAAGGCATTTGAACTATATGAAAAGGCTGCGAATTTAGAAGATAGTTTTTCTCAATATTGTCTTGCTTTTATGTATGAATATGGAAAAGGAGTTGAAAAGAATATAAATCAAGCAATTTATTGGTATAAAAAATGTGCTGAACAAGGAGATGTGAATGCTCAAAATAAATTAATAAATTTAATGAATTAAAGAATTTTGTAATACCGGCTTTATTGGAAAAAGATTACAGGTTATATTAATAATATTTTAACAAGTAATAAAGTAACAATAAAATAAGTAGTATTCAATGGCATTTTTAAAAAATCCTAGTATACTCTTTAAAATGAAGCATAAAGATACAATATAGTCATGACATTATCCAACCCAACCTAAATTCTCTATCAAAATACAAGTTCCTATACTAATTACATCAATTCTGTTTTAGGTTTTTAGATTGTTACCTATAGAAATTAAATAGTATCAAAGCCATATCACAAAACTATCACTCCTATTTCACGCGATAAATGACAATAGTACTGCATGATAATTTATGATTTGCTATTTGTTCTGAAAAATAATTTATTTTCAGCTTGAAATTATAATTTTAATTTTACTTTATTTGGTTATTTACAATATTAAGAAATAATAATTCCGTTAATTGTAGTTGCGTAAGGAGTGTTAGAAAATGATTGTTTTTATTACTAACGTTCAATTTTATTTTTAGCTTCAGTTCAATGTATTGTAAATTCAATTATTAAATAAGTTTATAACAAAAAGTTTTGAGCAATAATCTGTAATAATCCCACATATACAGTAGCTATTTAACTAAAAAAGTAGATATAACTTTATATTAGAACTAAAAATACAAAGAAAATAAACCGAAAAAAGAGATTTTATAATATACAATATATACTACATAAAGCTTCCATAAGCGAAACGCGATTTTCAATAAAACCACCTTTCTGCTTAGTATTTGGCATTTTTTTTCTTAAAATGCCCTTTTTTTCAAGAAAAAATTTTAAAAATAAAAAATCTAAGACTTCTAGGGCTTTGAATTAATCTTACTAAACTAAGTATTAGTTTAATTAGTAGATAAAGTCGCCACCCAAATTAAATTTTGATTATTAACAATTTAACAATTTCTAAAGTGTATTAATGAATTAAAGATATATTATGTGTCGATCGTACAGCAATTAATTTAGAATTTAAAATTTTTGTAGACTTCGTATAAAAAAGAAATCTCACTCGAAATGATAAATTCGATATACGAAAGTTATGATTTCATGTTATTATATGTTTCATACCAACAAAAAAATTCAGAACGTTACTAGCAATCACCCGTTGCTTCGCACCGGGACCAATGAGTTTGTTTAAATAGAAAAATTTAGTTATTATAATGTAATACTAAGTAAATTAAAGATGGTTACAGTAGTTTTTTGTTTATAATTAGGAATTTAATTAGGTCTTTCAGTTATAGGTGTCGTCGAAATTAATTACGGCATATGAAGCTTATACCGTAATACCATTCTACCACAATTATGCCGTAATTATTTTATAAATTATTGAATGCCGACCTTTATATTTTAAGGCCAAATTCCCATTTTGCCGTAATGCCGTAATTATAAATATGGCATTTCGACGACACCTATACTTTCGGTTCTTCTTTGTAACTACTAAGGTATGTTTTTTATTTTTTTGCTTTTGTTTATTTATTACATGTAATTTCCGTTCCCTACTAACTTTATTTCTTCTTTTAATTTCATGGGTTTGGTTTTTACATGGTCCATCTGTTTATCTCATTTTCATTTTTTTGTTTTTTTTTTGTCTCTTCATTTCTTTTGCTCTTTTTATTCTTCCCTTCCTTCATTTTTTCCATTGTTTTTATTTCCTCTTCATTCCTTTTGTCTTTTTCATTCCTTTACACTACCCTTCGTTCATTTCATTTTTACCACTTCATCATTTTCGTTCCTTTACAATATCTTTTGTTCTTTTCATTTTTTTTCCATTCCCACTTCTCTTTACACTACCCTTTGTTCCTTTATTCCTCTTTGCTCTATTTCGTCCCCTCCATTCTTTTCATTTTTTTCATTAGTTCCCGCTTGATCTTTTCGTTCCTATTGTTTCTTTCACTCCCCCTTTCCCTTTTACCCTCCCTATTTTTTCATTCACCCTCATTTTTTTATTAATTTTTAGAAGTATTTTCGAAAAAACTTTAATATTATGAAAATACTACAAATGTTTTTACTAATTAATTATAAATTCTATAATTATTTCTTATTTATATTACGTCAATCTTAAACTTATAACCAACTTAGGAAAAATATTTTAATAATTAATTCGTGATCCGCATATAAAGTAGAGAATATCGATATTCCGATGTGGGGTGCCGATCATATATAAATATAGTAAATTAGCCATAATTCAGCTATTTTGGACCGAGCTAGCACCACCATCTTGTACGACCTAAACGTCATATTTTATATGCTAATAATAGAATACTATATGAATAAATTTCTTGCATTTTCGTACTGAATTTGTAAACAAAAAAAAACCTTTTACTAGCCGGGTCGTCAGATTCCTGGCTATAAATATAGTAAGTAAATTCGCAATTTCAATAATTTTTATAAAATTTATGGCAAAAAAACTTAAAAAAATGTTGTTTTAACGTCAAAAATTTTCAAAAATTTACAAAATTTTATTCATTTGTCAAATTCTTTATTTACTAAGATCTGTCAACTAGCGCTAAAGCTTGTTGGGCTTTCAATTTACGATGAGTTTGTGCATATCGAGAAATCCAATTACTAATTGTAGAAATTTTTGGAATTTCCTCTTCTTCTAAAACTCCTTCTTCTACTAAACCTTTCAGTTCATTATGCATCTCTTGAGCTGTATACTTTTCACTTTTATTTATATCTCCGGCCAAGAAATATGCCTCAAGGTATGGAATAACATTTTTGCTTATTCGTTTACCTCCTCCTTTTTTACCAAATTTCTGATTTTCTTTTAAGGCCCATCCACTTGATAATGCAAAATTCGATGTGTGATTCAAAACTTGCCTTGAACCCAAATCAGTATCAATAATTTCAGTATTCAAAACGTCTATTATTCGTTCAGAAAAAAAGAAAATTAGTTTTGAGATAATATAATCACAATTTTACGGTAAGAATGATTTACCTATATTTTGTGGTGATATTTCATCGTTCAATTTATTTTGTAAAATTTCTGCTAATATAACTCTATTATTGCTTACATCTGTGTCAACGCCATATTCCTTCAATTGTTTTTTCAATTCTTCAATAGTAAGACGATTTGTATTGATTTCTAATATAAAAAAAAATCAATGTAAAACAATTGCAAAAAAAGAAAAAAAAATCAATTTATTACATACTTGATCTATGAGGTAATGGAATATTCCAATTGGAAGTTGGAATTGAGTGATCTGAAACTTGTGGATTAGGTTTTTCAAGAGGTCTTTTTTCAAATTGTGCTATTTTAGCCGGCTCAAAATTTTTCCAAGTTCCAATATTAGGCATTGCACGAGCCTGAATAAATCCTGCATATTCACCTTCTGTCGGCCAGGACCACTCATACCAATTGGAATTTCCTGGTATTGAATTTTTCTTTTTTCGTCCTGATTCTATAAATCATAGTAATTGCTTTCAGTAATAAGTATTACATAACTTCAAAATTGTATTCTCACATATACCCTTTTTCCGTTCTGGTTCCAAATGTGCTACTGAAGTACCACAAATCCCTTGAATAGCATTCTCTATGTCTACACCTTCATTGATATCAAACCCCAATCGAACATAACGATTTATCGCATGTGAAATCTGTAACCAATGATTCAATAAATAATAATGGTGATTTCCTAAATTATTTGAACAATCAATACACACTTGGGCATGGTGAGAATCAATTGATGTTTTAGCCTCTCCAGCTTCTAAAAAAACCCATTTTTTTACTGAAATATTGTACCATTCATTCCAATGCCCTAGAATTAACATTAGGTCCGCATTGTGATAATGTGGACCATTATCAGAAAGAAAAGTAACCCAATCTGGTTTGACTTCAAGCGATTCAATAACTGCATGTAGTGAAGAAGCTGTGAACCATGCATCTTGGCATGTATCGGCCGACCAGTGATCAAATACTTGAATATCCAATTGATGACTTTCAGATTTTCGTGTATAGACAAGAATTGAATGCAAAGCCCATCCTTTTTTCCCAAAAAAAGCACTTTTTGTTTCTCTTGCGCTCTTGGGTAAGATTTTCATCTTATAATCAACTATTATTATAGCTCCTTTTTCATCTAAATCTAATAGATTCGCGTTAAATTGAGAATTTAGAAATACCTTTCGCGTCTGATGACTCAAATAATAGAAAATTTGATCTCGTAATTCATAAATTTCCTCGTGAATATTATTTGGAGTGTTTTTTTCAATATCAATGAAGAATTGAAAAAGTGCATCACAATCTGAACATGTGTGAGTATGTTGTTCATTACATATACCAAAAGCAAAAGGAAGGCAACGGTTTATACATTGGTTATGTGCTGTTGTACCATCAGAATTTACAGTCAAATGTGACTCATATTCCCTTTTCAGATATCGTTTTAACTTCTCTCCTTGATCTAATAATTGATTCTAAATGAAATTATTAGAAATTAATATTATATAATTATTTTTTATCAATTATAGGAATAAAAATATTACCTGGATATGAAGATTACTAACGTGATTTTGAATGAGTTTGGTAAGTTCATCAAATGTTTCATAGCCATATGTGTTGCATATTGAACACAAACCACCAAGATTCTCACGATAAATATATCTATTGCCCTGCAAATGCTTATAAAAAGTTGTTCGTTTTACTCCACTTGGATATTTTTCATGAAACTTTTCCCACAGATCTTGTTTTGTATTTTTGAGGTAATGAACTGGTTCTTGCGTAATGGTGTCTGTTTTGTATGAACTCATTATTACATTAGCCTTATCAGAAAAGAATTGTTCTAAATTTTCTTTTTTTTCCCGTCCTAATTTGTCTTTGACAATAATAGGTTTTTGTGCTTGAGGTGCACCTGGTCCATTAATACGCGCATATTGGCGGGCTCTTGATACTGTATTTGCAGCTACCTGTAAGTTTATATTTTTATTAGTTCAATTATTTTGATAACATGCATTGTAGTAGTATACACTAACAGTACACTTACCCCTAATTTTGATCTGAGTTCTTGATAGGTAAATTTTGTAGCAATAATTGAAAGAATTCGTCTTTGACCATTTGGACCTCTATTTGTATTTTCCAATGCGTTACGAAATGCTTGCCAAAATGTAAGAGATTGATTTTCTTGATAATATGGATTTTGTTGGAGGAATCCTGATTCATAAAGTATTTGTAATGTTGTACTATCTTTTTGAACGTTATCTGATTTCGTCCAAAATTCAAACTAAATTAAAAAAATTATTTGTCAATAATAAATAAAAAAGTCAACTCATTTTTTTGCATAATTACTAACTTTAGATTCTCCATTTTTGAAGGGGGTGATATTAGTACATCCTGCATTTCGAACAAATGCTCTCCAAGCACGCCATTCTCGTTCATTAATTTCATAACCAGATGGATATAAATCTAAAATAGCTTTCCGTAATTCTAAAATATCACTTTTCTGATTTAACCATTTATTAAATAAATCATGCCATTTGACCTCACGTGAAATTCTTCTTTTCAAATGATATTTATAAAGATTTTCTAACACTCCCTCTAAAGTCCAGTCCAATACCGTGCAAGAAGGAATTTGTGCTTGTTGAATACAAATTTGCGTATACGGATTTTCTAACCCAAAAATTTTTTTTCCAGAATAATTTGAAAGTCTGCCAATACATAACCAAACTTCATTAGGATCAATAGCATTATACGTCTTTATCAAAGTATCATTAGTATATATTTGAACTACACACTCTTCATCTTCTATTTCTTGAATAAAAGCTGATTTTATACCATTGTAATGGGATTGAAAGACGGATTTATATCCTTCTCCTGCATAATTCCATTCTGGTTTTTTTGATTTTCCCATTCCCAGCACAATTACGTTCAATTTTCCAAGACTAATCATATATGGACGAAATATAATATCATCAAGTAATTGTTGTATAATATTTGAATTGTCAAAACCCATAACTTGTGGACCAGGGAACTTTGCATTTGAACGAAAAACTTTTTCATAGCAGGTGTTAATAGCTTCTGTTGGTGAACTGCACACACCTGACCTATATTCTTCAGAAAAACACAAAAATCCAGGAGAATTTGGATGTTGAGTATCTTTTACAACGGTAATTATGAAGTCACATTTTTTTAAAACTGTATGAGTTTTCATTCCTAAACGAATCGGAAGGAGAGGAGTATGCGTAGGATTCTTATTTATTGGTCGCGCAAGCCACCAGTTATGACAAAATGGACCAAAATGTAAATTTTCTACAATTTTGCCTGGGGAAATAAGTGTTGTAATGTATTCTTTACTTTTACTCATATGTTTTGACTTTAAAAAAGAAGTTGGGTATGTAAAAAACGCGAGATTCTAAAAGACGCGAAATCGCATATGCGTATTATCCCCGGATTTTATATATGTCGATCACTACTTTATATACGGATCACGAATTAAATGTATTGGAATCTATTCATTTCATTTATTATTATTCATTTTACTCGATAAATTATTAATTTAACTAAACCATTTGAATTAAAAACTTTATTCAAAAATCTGGTGGTTATTTAGAGAATTTCGGAATTCGGATATGGATTTGGGTTATAATAATCTATTATTAAATCAACAATTTCTTCAAAAAGAATTGATATTTTTACATATTTTATAATTAATTAATTGATTTTTATGAGTTTGAAAATCAAAACTATTTATCCAGCGTTCAATTTAATTGAAAAAATCTTACTCATCTTTCTATCAACGTCGGTCAATTTTTCTATATCTGATATGTTATATTGATCTTTTTTAAAAAAAATAATAATTTTGTAAATATATTTAATATAATATTTTATTTTTTATTTAATAATAATAAAAATTAAAAGAAAAAGAAAAAAAAATTTAAAAAAAATTTGGGGAAGAAAAAGAAATCAGTTTGAAAAAAAAGAAATTTCCGAAAAAAAAGGATCCGAAAAAAAAAATAAGTACGAAAAAAAATTCCGAAAAAAAAGGACAATAATCAAATCCAAAAAGAGTGAAAAAAAATTAAACCTAAACAGAAAAACAATTTTTTCGGTTTGAAAGAAAAGGGAGAGAAAATTTTTTTCGGTTTAAAAAATTTTTTAAAATAAAAGGACTAATCAAAAAAAAAAAAATTCCGATAAGGTAAAATTTTGGATCGGATCGAATAGTTTTTGACCATAAGTAGATCAGGCGGATTTACCCCAGAATCGTTCTAAGTAAAATTCTATTCCCACGTGACCAGTGATGTTTAAAGGGGCGTGAAAATAATTTTTTCACCACAGAATACTTGAATACTTTATGAAAAAATGAAAACGGTGGAGTGTGACACGGGGTGACATTTTATGCAGGTCGCGTGGGGTGAAAAATTTTGGGCGACGCTGGGGAAGATGATCAGGCGGAGGCATGTCACGGGTTTTAATTATATGGCATGATATTTCAAGTTACACAATTAAAAATTATTTATATGGAGACTAAATCCAAACGTCAGACAAATTTTTTGTTATATAGATGTTAAATTAAAAATTATTTACGAACAGTCTAACGTAGTAAGTTAAGTCATTGTTGTTCATCAATTTTTCTGCCACATGACATGACACAAATTCATTTTTGGAAATGCCGGAACGTCAAATTTCTATAAATAGTGAAAGATTTCTTTTTTTTTCTCAAGCTTTTTTAATTTCTGCAGAAAAACTTTACTATACTTAAAAAAATGGCCAACAACCCTGAACTTAAAGTCATTAGTAAATCAAATGAGTGGATTAATTGGATTGAAGAATCAATTGTAAAAAAACAAATTAAATATTATGATCAAAAACTCTTTAATAATATTCAAGAAATTGGTTCCGGAAATTTTGGAAGAGTTTATCGTGCAAGTTGGAAAAATTCTCATTATTTTTTAGCATTAAAATCTTTCATAAATTTCGACACCATTGCTAAAGAAATTGTTAATGAAGTAAATATAATATTAATATAAACATTTTTATCCTAATGATACACTAATGTACGCTAATTTATATTTTATTCATTTTTAGCTTAAACTTCAACGTGAAATTTATTTTCATGACAATATTATTCGCTTTTATGGCATCACTACAGGTATTATAAATGTTTTAAGAATTTTATTTAATAAAAACGAAAAAAAATCTAAAGTATTTTTTACTTTTTAAAAAGAAATCCAAAGTGATAAATCGAAAAAATATTTGCTAGTGATGGAATATGCTGATAGTGGTACCCTACGAAATTATTTAAGTGAACGATTTGAAAATCTCACCTGGAATGATAAATTAAATCTAGCGTTCCAATTAGCTGATGCGATATCTTATTTACATAATAAAGGAATCACGCATCATGATTTGGTAGGTTATTTATAATACTTATTTACGATTTAATACCTTACATTGTAAGATTATATACTCATATACTCAATATAATAATTAATTTTATTTATTATATTTGATAATAGCATTCAAAAAATATTTTAGTTCATAAGAATATAATCAAATTGGCTGACTTTGGATTGTCAAAAAGGATTAAAGGATTGCTTAATTTCCAATCAAATCTATGTGAAATGGTCGCTTATGTTGATCCACAAATTTTCAGCAACTCAATACAAGTGGTATATTCATTAAATAAAAAAAGTGACGTTTACAGTATTGGCATACTCTTATGGGAAATTTCTAGTGGCAAACCACCCTTTTGTAATGAACCACATGATTTCAGTTTGGCTATAGAAATATTACAGGGTCTCAGAGAGAAACCTATTACTAACACACCTGAAGATTATGTGAAAATATATACTGGTAAATTTAAATTATAATCTACTAATATAATATTGATTAATTTTAAGCTTATTTTATATTTAGATTGCTGGAACAATGACCCGAATGATCGTCCAACTATCAACCAGGTTGTAGAAAAATTAAATGCAATTATTCTAAAAGAAGACATCCAAGTACCAAATAAACAACAGAATGTCTTGAAATTTCATGAAAATATTGTTAATAATTCATCATATGGGAAAATGTCTCAAATTATTCAAAATTTTAGTAAAATAATTATAAAAGAAATCGAACCTTCAATTTCATCAAATCTAATTATGAATGACTTTGGAATAATTATTACTGAAATTATTTTCCTTCTTGAAAATATAGAATCAGAAAGGAAAAAACATGAAGTTATTAATTATCTTAATGATTATAATTTAACTTCGCAAGAAATTTATAATTGGTTATTAAGTAATCAGGATAATTCAAATTCTGTTTTTTTACTTGGAGTATTTAATCATGTTGGAATTGAAATTAATGTTGATGAACAAAAAGCATTCGAATTATATCAAAAAGCAGCAAATACAGGAAATTCATCTGGAATAATTAGTTTAGGATATTGTTATCATTATGGAATTGGTACTAGTATTGATAATCTAAAAGCATTTGAACTGTACCAAGAGGCTGCGAATTTAGGAAATTCACGTGGAATATATAATTTGGGAGTTTGTTATAATAATGGAATTGGAACTATTATTAATAATAAAAAGGCGTTTGAACTATTTCAAGAATCTGCAAATTTAGGAAATCCACTTGGAATATCCAGTTTAGGATATTGTTATGGTAATGGGATTGGAACCAGTATTAACAATCAAAAGGCATTTGAGTTATATCAAATGGCAGCAAATTCAGGAAATATACTTGGAATAACTAGTTTAGCATATTGTTATGAAAAAGGGATTGAAACCAATGTTAATATACAAAAAGCTTTTGAATTGTATCAAATAGCTGCAAATTTTGGAGGTATTTTTGCTCAATATTGCCTTGCTTTCATGTATGAAAGTGGAAAAGGAGTTAAAAAGGATACAAATCAAGCAATTTATTGGTATAAAAAATGTGCTGAACAAGGAGATTTGGATGCTCAAGATAAATTAATTGCTTTAATAGGTTAAAAGTATTGAGTAAGAAATTATTACAGTATGTAATATTAGCTTTACAAAATTCATTTAACAACAATTATCATATTAATTAGCGAGCAATAAAGTAACAATTAAATAAAAAATACGAAGTTTTACTTAACAATAGTATTTTATGAAATCCAAGCCTTTTAAAATGAAATATGTGATACTGACATTGTAACAACTAACATTATTCAACCTTCGCTTTTCTGTTAAACAGAGAGGCAAATGGAAAAACATAGTATTGCTTTTATTTGGTTATACTGTATACAGTGTAAAGATAATTACTTTATAAAAATAATTTCATTTATTGTAGTTGCGAAAGGAATTTTAGATAATGTCTACTATTAGTAAGTTATTAACGCTAAATTTTACTTTTAACATCAGTTTATCAAGTTTATGTTAGTATGTGAAATTACTTCTGAATTCGGGACTACTGCTAATAGATAAGTATTTAGGACCAAGATTCGATTCTTGAGCTAAGAAAATTAATTCTATAAATAAATCGCGTCAGTTGTATATTCATTCATTTATTTGTTGTATTGGAAAAAATAAAGGTAGTAGGTACAGTACAAATGAACATATGACAAGTATATATACTGTATATATACGTATTTTCTCTATTATCAAGAATGGGTTACGGTACATTTCGCCGAAGCCATTTCGCCGAAGGGATATTTCACCGAAAGGAAGTTTCGCCAAAAATGGTAGCGATTAATATTTTTAATAAAAAACCAGCGATAGGGTGGGTTACATTTTCGTTCAAGGTAAAACCACAGTAATTGCACAAGCATGGACCTCATATGAATTTTTTGGATCACTAGGTTGGTCTACAACAGCAACTTCAATACTATATGGCCCAAGAAGAGTAGGTGTCATGATATCATTTGCAGCAATAGTAAATTGTTCTCCTGCTTTAAGTGATTGGTTTAAAGCCTGATAATAGATGTTGCCTAAAGGAGTTTTAGGAGATATACTGCTTCATCTTATTCAATTCTAAGGATGGTTTTTCCTATGGTTATATCATCTTTACTTAATTTACCGGAAACAGTAAAATTCGCAGAATTCTAAGAAACAGGAGGGTCAGATGGACTGTTACAGTGAGTAAGTCAACACCTTTCGCATCTTGACATGCATCAAATTTTAGTTTCTTCTTTACGAAGTTGGTGTGGAACGACATTGATCATAGAAAATTTATCAAGTAAATGAAGACAAAAATAAAATTTCGGTTCATCTTGAAAATATTTATTTGGAGGTATTTTTTTTTCATGAATATTATTAAATATCTCGTTATAATGTAATTGTTAATAGCTTGATTTCAGAGTTACTTCCTTTTTATGAAGAACAAAATACAGTATTCTAAGTTTCATTAAAAGATTTCATTTTTTTCTAAATTATTAAAATGGACGATTAATTTTAGATGATGACCGATCTACTTCATTTTACACAGCAGACCAACATGTGATTTTTAGCGCGGTGTAAATTTTTTGGGATTAATACCAAATATATTAAAATTATTATGAATTATATTCCTAAAAGTATTTATCATACTTATAGTATCGAATGAATTATTTCGAAAAACTTTTGATATTGAAAATTTTTAAGCGTGACAAGTGTTTGATGATTATAATTAAAATTTTACAATCATAACTTTAACATATTTTCTGGATATCATATTCCTAAAATGCGATCTTGTCATATTTTTAGTTTTTAGATTTCACAATTAAACTAACCATAATTTTCAATTTGGATTTATTATTTCTTTTCTGTTCTCGAAAAAAATATTTTTTAAAAAAATAAAGGAAATCATAAGAAAACTAGTTAGTTTAATATTTTACTCACCGGTATATAATTTCTACATATTAAATCTTCAAGCGTACCAGGAACAGATTAGTGAATCTTTTTTGGATCGACATAGGTAAATTTGATCGTTCGTTGAATGACATGACAGAAACTAATGAATGATCTTTTACAATGAACGATAAACTTTTCGGATCCAATTTCTTGAATATTACTAAAATATTTGCATTCAAACCCATTCGTTCGTATTTTCTGCTTTTTGCATTTTGATATTATTTATATCGTGGTTTTATAGTAAATGAACTTTTTTTTTCAAAAAAAATAAGTTGATGAGTAAATACGTGCAAATCCTTCTTTTAAAAATTTAACACCAACGTAAATAACCACTTTAGACTTTATTTATTGCAAAGTATATTATGTGAAGTATATTTGTATGATATTGTTAATTTTATTATTAATATACAGTATTAATAAAATTAAACGAAATATACTAAAAAAAAGTGACTATTTTCATATTTTCATTTAATTATCTAAAATTGTTTTCATCATCAAATTAAATTTTATATTATTGCTTACATAAAATAACTAAGAATGATATTTATTTTCAAAACTCTTTACTAATATAATAAATGGACGAAACAACAACTTTTGTATTTTAATGCAAATATCAGCTAGATCACAATATCACTCATGAAGTTATGTCAACAATTTTTTATCAAACTTTTAATTATCAAATATTGCGCTCTTAATGGACAAGAAAAATATTTTTACTTATGTTTAATTTTTAAATACGTTCGAGAAATTTATTTTTTAATTACTTAAAATACTTCATAATCATTCAGTTTACATTAAATTTCCCTATTGGCATACCATCAATTACTTCCAAATTTTTTACTATACCAAACACCAAGCTCGTTATGATTGTATTATATAAATACCAACCACTATCAAATAATGGTGCATAATTCGGATTATTTCCTATAGAATTTTGATTTCCATTACTTTTGCATTTTCTATATCCCGGCTTCACATCTGCAAAAAAATATTTAAAACTATCAAATGTGGACTTCCATAATCCACTTGAATTCCAATAAAGTGGATTATATCCGCCATTTGTTCTGAAATTTTAATTTTTACAACAACTATAGTAGCTCCTTTATTATCACATTTAGCATGAAATTCTGCAGGTGTATTACTATCTCTACTAGCACGATAAAGTAAATTGAAATTATAAGGAATATTCCTCACATTATTATAATGTAAATTTTCTTTCTTATCGATCCAACTAGCAAAAAAGCAAAATAACGATTTCTAATTAAAATTGAATCATAAATAGGCTTTGTGCTTCTAGGAGGTTTAATTTCGTCAATATTTGGTTTTCTATTTCGTGCAATATTAAATTTCACCAATTCATCAGCTAAATCTTTTGGTAGTAATTCTTTTAAAGGATATATTTTATCAAGAAAATCATCAGATAAATATGATAAAATCTTATTATTGGAATAAAATCGTAATATCTTCATTGCTCCATCTTGTGAAATCGAAGGATTTTTTGCAATTACCCCATTTTAATGAATTATTCAAATTTTAATTTCATCTAAAATCAAGTCATCTCACTTTAGAATAAATTTCAATAAAGGCGCTTTTAAATTGATAAAATTATCAGAATTAAATAACATTTCAGGTTCTTCACAAATCTTCTCAAGACAATAATTTCATAAATCTGTGAATGATTCGTGTTGATAAACTGTTTCGAAAATTTCAATAGGATTTTGTTGCAAAAATATATCTTGATGATTAATCAAGTATTCTCGAACATGATGGATTAACGAATTGAAGTTAAGTTCATCTAATGCCATCAAAATATCTAATACTTCGGGGCCCAGCAATTTTGTTAAATCAATAAATAAATCAAAAATATATGTAAATTAAATACACTAAACGAATTTGCCGAAACTGGTCGTTATACAACTAATACAATTAATGATTGGTATACAACGATTGTATTACGTACTCGTGTGGTAATTTCAAGTCATATGACTACATAACTACGTGATTACGTAACTATGTGATGCGTACTCATATGTAGTCGTAATCACAAGGGTGTTGTAATTGTAATAAATAAGTAATTACCGTGTTGGAAGCCATATTAGTCAAATACGGTCACGGAAATATATACTCACAAACCTCTTTTTTTCTCAGTTAATAAAATAAATGTTATAAATATTTTCTTCAAACTAAAGTCTACCTGGATATTGTAGTTTCAAAATCTGAAATATATTTCACATCTGATAAACTATGTCTACTACAGCTACCGTGAGAAATTTAATATTTTGAAAGAAAGAAACGCAAGCGTTAATAAACGTTTAAAGACTGAGGACGGTGAATACAAAAGAATTATACAAATAATAAAAGTCATCAACTGTGATACTGAAAACGTTCAAGATTTAAACGATTTAGACACTAACTACGGCCGAATATCAGAGATCAAAGTCAAGTCATAGACGATACTCATGAGCTTACTAAGAAAGTAATAGATTCGTTACACAGTAAAGAAATCTATTACCTGAGAGATTGGATCAAAAAATTTTTTACTCAAGTAAAAGGAAGGTATGACGTAGGTGGTTGGGCAAATTGGGCAAAATTATTAGGTGCTTTAGATAAAAAGTCGGCTTCTGGAAAGGTAAATTTCAGAAGCCAACAAAATGAATATATTGTGCAGTTGGAAATTATTTTAGACGTAGTACAAATGACAGTCGACGTTTTCGAGCAGTTATATAACATGAAAAATGAAAGTAACGTTCAATTTCACGATAAGGCAAAGAATTTGGCGGAGGCAAGAAACCGATTTGAAAGCATGAAGTTTTCTGGCGAGATGGAAAAATATGAAGAACCGTTAAGGAAGCTTTTCAGGGCTTTGAAGATATGGTATCGTTGTTGATTAAGTACGCCGTAACAATATAAATGTTTTTAATTTACTGTAAAGGAGAATTATTTAGGAATTGTATAACATTACATTTAACATTAAGACTTCTTGCATATGGTGTGGAAAGGTTAGAACAATAGCTGAATTTTCTCTCTTCTATTCTTGTTATTGTAGATATTTTATTATTTGTATTAGCAACTTACATTTAGCAAATAAGCATGTTCTCATATACGAAAATTTTATTAACTTGTGTTTTATGAATATGTAATATATGTAATGAATCCTCTGCAATAAAAAATACCAAAGATAGATAATATAATAATTTTCAAGTTATTGGTTTTACTAGCCCCTATTGCATAATTTTACGTTACCTTAAAATAATTTTAAATATTTGAGGAGAAATATTTGATTTTTCAAAATAAATTTTCCATCTTTTTTATTGGTCCATTCATTAGAGAACTCTATACAAAAATACTGCGATCTTGTACATAAAATATTCGAATGAGCATGAAATTCTTTTATAACCAACGTAGATAATGACATCATATCCTTTTCAGTTGTAAGTAACCTTTTCAAGTCATTAGAAAGATCTTGAAAATATTCAAAAGACATATTTTTATAACAAGAAAGTTTAAGGAAAACAATTAGTTTATGAAGTTCAAAGAATCTAAATAACTAAAAAAAATTCGGTGATGTTTAGATTACCCTCTCGTATAAAAATTGCGCCTGATAATTTTTATATAAAAAAAACGATTTTAATTCTTTGAAAGATTAAAAGCTAATTACGTGTATATAAATATGATGTACATATATATTGATATATTATTTACGTATGTTAACTGAGACCCAGAAATATATAGTTTGAGTTTGCGTATTTTGAACTAAAAAAAATCATGAAAATCTTTCCTTTTTTAGATAATTTTTGATAATGCCGGTTAGAATTTTATTTCCTAATATAGTAACCGACTGACATTATCATAATTCCGGCCCTGAAAAAATGCGTAAAAAATTTTTTTCATCACCTGACCCCTATATATATATTTCTGGGTCCTGGTTTTCCCACTAGATTTCCAGCAGTAATATGAATATTGACTAACGAAAATAATTTTCGGATGAATGCGATCAGCCGCGGCAGATCATTACCTTTTTTTTTTTTATTTTTCTTTCGGTTCTTTTTTTCAAACTGAAAAAAATTTATTTTTTTCTTGAATTCAACTTTTTTGTTTCAATACCGAAAAATTTTTTTTTTAATTATTTTTTTGTATAAATTTTTTTAATTATTTTTTTTTTTTTTTTTGGTTGTCTCATCCTCTAACGCTAACATATGTTGTAGTAAATTTTTAATAGTAAAAATATTTAATTATATTGAGTGAAGTATTGTAATCCGAATGGCTTCTTAAGAAGTTGAGAATAACGTAAAAAAGATTAGATGATTTCCAAGAATCACTTCAATCATTTTTCATTCTTAACCTGTAGTTTTAATAGCTTCCTCCTCATTATCGCATTTTTTCGTGAAATATTCTTCTCATAAGTAAAGATTATTAATTTTTAATTTTAAGTCTTCTATTTGAGTAAATTTAAATAATGACTATAAAATACTAAAGTTACTTTAATCTGAAAGCTATTGGATTTAAACAGAATTTTTAGTTTTAATACATAAATTATTATATTAGAATCTAGCGTATTAATAAAAATATCTTACACGCCATTTTTTACTCTTTTGACTTTTTAATACAAATTAATATTCAAGTAAGATTATTTTAACTCCCTTAACTATTGTTCTACGATGGTATCCGGACTTTCCGCCGAAGTCATTTCTCCGAAGGGATATTTCACCGAAGGGGTATTTCGCCGAAAGGACGTTTCGCCAAAATACAATTTCACCGAAACTCCATTTTACCGAATTCCATTTTCCGAAGTCATTTTACCAAATGGACATTTCGGACATTTTGCCTAATGGACATTTCGCCGAAAAATATTTATTTTCGTTTTTATACTAATAATTTTCTAGAAAAATGTTTGAATTAGCTGATTTTATTAAGTTTTTTTACTTACTTTTTCGCGAATAAATGTTTTTAGGAAAATAAAGTTATTAATTTATTACTTAACAATTAATATCAGTTACTTGAATGTTAACGTGATAATATGCTGGAAAGAAAAAATCCCAAAATAATTTAATTTTATTTTCATTGCGTGATGAATATTTTATAAAAATGTCAATCGCTGCCATTTTCAGTGAAACGTCCATTTGGCGAAATGGACGATTCGGTGAAATGGATTCGATAAAATGCACTTTCGGCGAAACATTTCTTCGGTGAAATATCCCTTCGGCGAAATGGCTTCGGTGAAATGGGTTTCGGTGAAATGGATTTCGGTGAAAAGTCCGGATACCTCAAGAATGCATATGTCCGTCTATTTAAAAAAGTTTATAACAAAAGTTTAAGGGCCAAAGAAAGCGGCTTACTAGTATATAACTTTATATTAGAACAAAAATAAAACCGAAAAAAGATATTTTTATTATACAACGTTTCCGTAAGAGTAATACAAAATTACAAAATTGCAAAATTATACTTTGAGACGCAATTTTTCAATAAACCAACTTTCTGCTTATTTGGCATTTTTTCCTTTAATTTGTTATGTTTAAAAAAAATTTTCTCTTAAAAAAAAATGTATTCCAAGACTTCTGGGACTTTAAATTAGTCTTAACAAAAATATTAATTGAGTTGGTAGATAAAGACGCCACCCAAATTGAATTCTGATTACTAACAACTTAACAATTTCTAAAGTGTATTAAGGATATATGTCGTACAGTAATTAATTTAGAAAATAAGATTTTTATAGACTTGCATAAAAGAGAAATCTCACTTAAAATGATAAATTCGATATATAGAAGTTAATTTCATGGTATTATATGTCTTATACAAAAAAAAAAAAAAAATTCCGGACGCTATGCTAAGTCAAAAATTATTTACGAACAGGACATTGTTGCTCATTAAATTTTTTCTGCCACATGAGCATGATACTAATTCATTTTTTGAAATGCTAGAACGCCAATAGTATAAAATTATTAACTTTTTAACTTAATTTCAGCAGAAAAACTACTATACTTAAACAATGTCCAACAATCCTGAACCGTGGTTTTATTTCCATGTTTTTCCGTGAATGTATCAATTTCATGGAATTTATAGTCTTAAATCATGGAACTTTTCATCTCTCTAACACGAATATCCGTGAATGTATCATTTTCACGGAATTTTTATTACGAAAGCCACAGAGAAATAACGAAAATGTTCGGACAAAAATTTTTTATAGGGTAGTATTCAATAAAAGCCGATCCGTTTTTTATATTCCATCTTTTTTCCCATAAAAGCTCATGTTTCCAGAATTACATTTTCCGTGAATGGATCCGTGAAAGGCTCATTTTACGGAGTTTTTATAGAAATAACGGATAAAATTTTTTATAGGGCAAATGAGTGGATTAATTGGATTGAAGAATCAATTGTAAAAAAACAAATTAGATTCTGAAATTTGGAAAAGTTTATCATGCAAGTTGGAAAAATTATCATGACTTTTTAGTATTAAAATATTTTATAAATTTCGACATCACTGCTAAAGAAATTGATAAATTTGCGTCATCATATTTTAATTTCGTACCCCCTGATTGCGCTCCCACAAAACGGAGATGCTTTAGTTTCACAAGTTTGATCGACATATACATACCATTTAAGGTTATGATGTTACACAAATTGATGATATTGCTTAAAAAGTGTTTGTATCACAACTTGGCTGAAAAATAGTGTAACCAATTGCTTAATTTAAAGGTTCGTCTAAATTTTTTTAATTTTTTCTTGTTAAAAACGCTATACTATTCAATTACAAAGAAGTGTGACAATCACAAAGTTAGTATTTTTTATTAAAATGTTATTTATATACGCTGGTAAATAATTTGTTTTAAAAGATGTGAAAAAAAATTTAAAATCATTCATTTCTATCACAGGCTGTCTAGCTTATTGTGTCACATTTGCTTATATTGAGCGGCATATCCAATTTTGAATAGTGGATACTCAGTTTCTCCTAAACTACCTTTCTCTACTAATTTCATAAGTTCATATCACATATCTTGCATGCTATATCCATTGCTCTTATCTAAATTCCATTTACAAATATAATTCCTAAAGTGTATTGGTAGATTTCACTGTTTGAAGACGGATCACAAATTAAATTTCATTGAAAATGTCTCAAAATTTTCAAAATTTTAGTAAATTAAATATAAAAGAAATAAAACCTTCAATTTCATCAAGTCTAATCACAAATAACCTTGAAATAGTGGTTATTGAAATGACTCTCTTTCTAGAAAATATTGAAGCAGTAAGGAAGAAACATGAAGCTATTAATTACCTTAATGATCATAATTTAACCTCACAAGAAATTTATAATTGGTTATTAAATAATCAGGATAATTCAAATTCTATTTTCTTACTTGGAGTATTTAATCATTTTGGAATTGAAATTAGTGTTGACAAACAAAAAGCATTTGAATTATACCAAAATGCAGTAAAATTAGGAAATGTTTCTGGAATAATTAGTTTAGGTTATTGTCATGAAAGAGGAATAGGAACTAATGTTGATAAACAAAAAGCATTTGAATTATATCAAGAGGCTGCAAATTTAGGAAATTCACGTGGAATATATAACTTAGGAGTTTGTTATAACAATGGAATTGGAACTTGTATTGATAACCAAAAGGCGTTTGAATTATATCAAAAGGCTGCAAATTTAGGAAGTGTACTTGGAATATATAGTTTAGGATATTGTTATGATAATGGAATTGGAACCAGTATTGATAAACAAAAAGCATTTGAGTTATTTCAAAATTCAGCAAATTCTGGAAATGTACTTGGAATATCTAGTTTAGGATATTATTATGAAAAAGGAATTGAAAACAATGTTAATCAACAAAAAGCATTTGAATTATATAAACTAGCTGCAAATTTAGGAGGTAGTTTTGCTCAATTTAGTCTTGCTCTCATGTATGAAAATGGAAAAGGAGTTAAAAAGGATATAAATCAAGCAATTTATTGGTATAAAAAATGTGCTGATCAAGGAGATGAAAATGCTCTAAATAAATTATATTTATTAGATATACATATATGATTCATTTAATAAAATTTATTGTTCATATTAATTCATGAGCAATTAAGTAGCAATTAAATAAAAGATGCGAAAACTTTCTATCTAAAAATAAAATATAAAGTATACTGACATTGTTACAATCTAAATTCACTGCCAAACATAAAGAAGCGCATTTTTATACATAGAATCCAGGTCTTTATATTAAATTTGGTTTATTTCTGTTAAAGTTTAAATTATTAATTTAGAAACTAGCCAGTGTATTTCTTTACAGTAGTCACTACTATACCACTTTTTTGCACTTTTTATTTGATGTGAAATTTGTTTATATACGGTAAAAAGATAGATCTATTTCATAAAAATAATTTCATTTATTGAAGTTGCGAAAGAATGTTAGAAAATGTTTATTTATAATTAGCAAGTTTACGGAGTTTATGTTATATGCAATTACCTTTGGATTCGGGACTAATAGAAAGTTTTTTCCTAATGACAGAAATGCATATGTCCGTCG